CGGCCAGCAGCATCCACTGGCTTGCCCTGTGTGCGGCTCCAGCTGGAAACTAGAAGCGCCGTTGCTTTCTCTCCACCACAACCACAACAGCAATCCCAAATCAAAATCGGAATCCGAGTTCAAGCTCCGAGAAGTTAAAACCAAGACGTTGAGAGTCTACAACGATGACGAGCCGTTGGTATCTCCCATCTCTCTCGCTCAGTTCAATCCCATACCTGAATCGGAAGAGAACGACGATGAAGAATGCCAAGAGAACCATGAATTTCAAGGATTCTTCGTCAACGCTTCTCCTTTATCCAATCAATCATTAACTGATCCAATTCCGAGCGTCGACGTCATGTTATTGCCCGAAGCTGCTGTATTGGCGGTCGGGAGGAGCTACGAGAGTTATACTGTGATGCTCAGAGTCAGAGCCCCTCCGTCGAAGGCGGCGCACGGGGCACGTAGGGCTCCGGTGGATCTAGTCACAGTGCTCGATGTCAGTGGGAGCATGAATGGACAGAAGCAGCAGATGATGAAACGTGCCATGAGATCGGTAATATCTTCGCTGCGAGAGACGGACCGGTTGTCCATCGTTGCATTCTCCGGGAGCTCCAAGCGGTTGCTGCCACTGAGGAGGATGACGACCGACGGACGTAGATCGGCTCGTCGAATCGTAGACGCGCTCGGAGGCGCCGGGCAAGGGATGAGCGTGAACGACGCTCTGAAAAAGGCAGCCAAGGTGATCGAAGATCGACGGCAGAGAAACCCCGTCGCCACCATAATTGTCTTAACAGACGGTCAAAACGACCGGCCCCACAACAAACATTCCAATCAGATGCGCTCATCCCCTTTCGTCTCCACCACGCGCATTTCTCCTCTGGAAATCCCAGTCCACGCGATTGATTTGGGACATGCCGGCGCGTGTTACCAGCCACTTTCCGAGAACGCATTTAGCCAGTGTATTCGCGGTTTGTTAAGCGTTGTGGTTCAGGATCTCAACCTTAAACTCGGGTTCGTTTCCGGTTCAGCTCCGGCGGACATCGCTTCAGTTTACTCTCTAACAGGTCGACCCGCGTCGCTCGGATCCGGGTCGATCCGGCTGGGTGATCTATACGCTGAGGAAGAGCGGGAGTTACTGGTGGAACTGAGAGTGCCAGCTCCGTCCGTCGGGTCCCACCACGTCCTGTCCGTACGGTTCTCTTACATGGACCCTTCATCGCAGGAGCTGATCTGTTCTAAAGAGCACGCGCTCGTCGTACCTAGACCCCAGGCCGTACGATCCTCTTCCCCTACCATCGCACGGCTGAGAAATCTCCACATCAGCACCCGCGCCATAGCAGAATCCCGCCGATTAATCGAGCGCAATGATTTTTCGGGAGCTCATCATCAGTTGTCCTCGGCTCGAGCACTCTTGATACAATCCAGGTCAACGACGACCACCGCCGACGACAACATTCGCAGCATTGAAGCCGAGCTGCATCGGCTCGATCAGCAGCAACATAGAAACAGAACTGGCGGTGGTCGGACAGAGGAGAAAGCGGAGCCGCTAACGCCGACATCGGCTTGGAAAGCCGCGGAGAGATTGGCTAAAGTGGCTATAATGAGGAAACATATGAACAGAGTCAGCGATTTGCACGGCTTTGAGAACGCTAGATTTTAATTACTTCCTTTTTCACTTTTCGCATCATAAAATTTTTCTTACCATTTTGTAACACAGAGGGCAAATATGTAAATTTATAATATAATTTTTTTTTTAATAGAAAAATGTGAATAGTGTGGACCCGGGCGCATAATAGCGACAAGCAGTACCAGACGTTTAGGTCCTTTCTGATTTCTGCAGAGAACCAAAACCCCCACATAAAAATTGATTGGCTCTGACGGTTTCTTCTTTGTTTTATTAACTCTCCCCATCTCATTATCACCCAAAGTGTTGGTATTTGTTTTGCCTAATCAAAAATAAATCTCATAAAGACTCTCAAATTAAACTAAAGAATCACGACCCATGAAATTTAAATCATCAAATGTAAATCCATAACAAGAAAGAAGAAGAGTATGTCTGTTTGTTTGTGGTTTGAGAATGAATTATTTGTATGGGTTGCTGGGTCTCATCAATGGAACGTGCAGCAGCTGGTAAAAATGGATTCGTAGGCATCTGCAGTGGGTTTGTTTTTGTTTTGCTTTCTTGTTTTGATTTTTCAAGCATTAAATTCCAAAGTAAGAGTCTTTTTGAGTCGTGCCAAAACCCTCTGCCCATCTCTCAACACATACATATAAATTAATTATCTGACCATCTTAATTATCTTTCAGAATGTTTCAAGTTGTTAAATATGGAATATAAAAGTGGAGAAAAATATTTTCTTTTGATTTGGGTTTCTAATGATCGCCGTGGCAAAATGTAAAGAGGAACAAGACATGATTTTGTTTCCTCCCGAGTTAATGCAATCATAGATTTCATGTTTACGGCGCTGCTCTGCAATTTTATTCAACGACGATTTCATTACTCTCTTTCTTTAAAAATATGAAAATCAATTTGGTGGGTGTCTCCTGTGTCACGCAATAGAATGATTTGCACTCCTTTTTTTTTTTTTTTTTTTTTTTTTTGCCTAAACCCAGAATCTAAAATTAATTTTTGTATATTAAATTAAAGACTAATCATGCTAATTAATTAGGGAATTCCCACATTAATTAAGAAAGTAAATCAATGGGGACCTCATCCACTACTACCCAAAAAAGTTGAACCAATTTGGATTAACGTTTCAGAAATTGTTTATTTGTATAATTTAATTATTTACTTTCTCAATATATAATTAAATATTATTTTATTTTTTTAAAATCTAATTCGTATATTTTAATTCATTTTGCTGATATTTTTAATTTCATATTAATATTTTATTTATATTACCTTCAAATTCTTAGTCCGTACATAAGCTTAAACTAAACATGTTAAATATATACTTATATATATATATATATATATATATATATATATGCTTACCAAAAATAATTACAACGTATACACACACACATATAGGAAAGTGGAGTTAAATTAAATGGAACTAGTAATAAAGAAATAAAGGATGGATTGTTAATCTATTTCTCATATAAGTTTTGGATTGTGAGAGGGCATATATATATATATATATATATATATATTGTATTGCATTGTTTAATAACGACATGCACAAAAAAGAGAGATCAAACAGCCCAGAAAAAAAGAAGTCTTCTCTCCTTCGTCACTCACCACCATTAAACCCCCTCATCATCAATGATTCATTGTCGCACTGCAAACCCCTCTAAACCCTACTTTCTCAACAAAACATCATTCTGGTTTTCTTATCTGGACCAACATATCTTTTAGTTTTGAATCTCAGTTGTTATCTAATTTTTTGATCCATTAAAAGGGATGAATTGAATTTATTAACTCATTGAGCTTTACAAATTCATCACTCTGATTTATATTTCGAATGGACCGAAAGAAACACAACAAATTTATAATCCACAACTATATATAGATTATGATTAAACAGTGAAAATATATTTTTCATTTTACTCTTTTTCATCATAACTCAAAAACTTGTAATAACACCGTCTCACATTTCATCTTTATGTTCGATACTATCTCACGTGTAATTCTTCACGTGATGTATGGGGGTAGATATCATAATACATACATGGTGAAAAACCAGAAAAACGAGGTAATCATTGGGTTAACATGACAAACTTGTATTCACATGGTTAAAAAAGCCGACTGTGCTCTATCAAACAATCTATTAATTATCACCTTTTAATAAAAACAAACAACTCTTCTCTTGCAATTTCTCTGTTACATTAGACCCATTTGTGGGAATTAGAAAAAGTTTTACCAGCCGGCAATTACTATGATTTTTTGAAGTAAATGAAATTTTAATTGATTAGGGTTCTTTAATTGGTGAGGGGCAGCTCTCGTTCGCTTTTGGGAGTACTAATGATTTCCCTAAATTGCGGGACACTTCAAAAGCTCTTGAAGTGGTGGTGATGAGTGCATACTTTTTTTTTTTTTTTTTTTTTTTTTTAATTAAAAAAAATTAATTTTTGGATAATTAAGTGGAAGGTGGAGAGCTTATAATATTTAGTTAATAATTAATTAAATTAAACAAATCCCAAGAAGGGCACATTCTTTGGTTTGCAATATTGTCATTTGTAAAATGCATCTTCCACATCTTGATATGATGGACAACTTGGGTGAAGAGAATGACTAATTTCTCACACATTAATTTGGTAATTAACATTTCCCAAAGGAATAATTACATACGCATATATAAATATAGACAAAAGTTTATAAGGAAATCGTTATGGGTTTATGAATAGGAGTTGTTTGGGCAAAGATTCTCAAGCAATTTTTTTTTTTTGTTCTTCTCGTTAATGGTATTTGATTTGACAGAAACAGAGGTGCAGAGTATGGCAAATTTTGGGTATTAAAAGAATTAACAGATAACAAACAGAAGTTTGCCTCTTTCTTTGTATACTTAAATTATTGTCTCAACAATGGCAATAAGAGTATAAATTGAAAAAAAAATACAACTTTTTATTTAGAATTCAAATAATTAAGTAAACTTACTTGGTATAAGCAGAACTCAGCTCAATAAGATCAGCATATAACATTTACCCAAAAAACAAAAATCTGCATACATACATAACAGACAGATACAGAGAGAGAGAGAGAGAGAGAGAGATTAAGAATGGGAGAAGCAAAAATGATCAAGAGAAACGACAAGAAAAAGTACAGGTAGAAAAGGAAAGAGGGGGGGGGGACACTTGGGAGTTGGTATGAACCGGAAACCGGAATCT